ACACACACACACACACACACACACACACACACACACACACACACACAGAGGCAGGGTGAATAACAATCTCAGTCACTGACCCTTAGCTTCTAGTGTGTCCTCCAGTAAGCCTCGGGAACCCTTGTAATGACTTCTTTTCCCTTCTGAGGTGGGTTGTTCTTGGGGTGGACGGGCGTTATGCTTCCTGCCTCATTATCTTTCCAGCATCTCTAAAACCCCAGCATCTAGAAAACTGGCCTGCCATTTATATTTGAGTGAATGAAAGAATGATAATAATATAGATAGTAGTGGGTCGGTGCTACTTGGGAAAATAACAAACTTTAGTATCTGTAATGTTTGTGGACATTTAGTATATACAAATATTGCTTCTGTTACACAGGGTACACAGCAACTCTTTTGCTGATCCTCCTATGTTTGTGGTTGGCTTCTTGCAGAATGTTTGTTAGATTCTAAGCTAGTCAAATACAGCAGAAAACTAGTTGATTGTTTGTACTAGCCAAGAAACATCACTTTTTGTTCATTTGAGCAAATGATTTATATACTTGTAAGTGTATATACTTGGTCTTGTTTTAGCATATATTACATATAATACTGGATTTAATTATGACATTTCCATACATGTACTTTTTTGTTTGTTTGGGGTTTTTTTTTTTTTTTTGTTATTGTTTTGTTTTGTTTTTCGAGACAGGGTTTCTGTAAAAGGAACTTTAATTTACCTGTTTCAGTTGTCTTGGGGGCTTCCTGCCTTCCTCTGCTAACCCAGGCCTACTCCTTGAAGCCTCTAGTCTCCGTACATTCTAATCTAGGCCTAGAATGTTTTCAGCCTCTGAGACTTACTGCTGAATAAGCTCACCCTTTCTAGTTCTTTCTCCCGGCCTCTGAATTGCTCTGCATGGCCTCACACTAACTCAAACCATCTGCTCTAATCTTGTGGCTCCTTATCATTCTCTGGCTCATTCTATCTTCATCTGAATTCTCTCTCTGCAGCCAGTCTCTCTGTCACTGTCCCGTAAACCTGCCTCCTCCCGCTGCATTGCCCCGTAAGTAGCTTCCCTTTCCTCTCCTCATGAGAGCTGGGTGTATCCTATTCTGTCAAGTCACAATTTCTGCCACTCAATTAGACATCACTTTTTCTTCCAGCATGATGGACTGACTCAACAAGTTCAAGGCCAGATCAGGACATTTTTTTTTTTTCAGAATAGTTGTCCATTCAGCTAAGTGATGAACACTAAATTAGTGGAAGGTGGAAGAAGCTCCTTCAGAGACTTGAAAACCTTAATTCTCAGGTCCTTGAGTCACCCTCTGCTTTGCAGAGGAGGATCAAATCTTTCTCTGATTTGTCACATTTTCTACCACTCAATTAGACGTCACTTTCACACATGGGTGCTCCCTTCTACAAACTATCGTTACCTTCATTTTTGGGATTAAAAGCCTGTACCACCACACCTGGACCTAAGCTTTTGTTTATCTGAAACTTGCTCTACAGCAGGCTGGCCTTGAACTCAGATCTGCTTCCCTCTCTCTCTCTTGGATTAAAGACAAGTTTGTATTCCAGCTGGATCACACAGACCTAGAAGGATGTGATCACTTTCCAGAGCAGCCAACAGGTTGTATGTGTGAGTGTGTGTGTAACAGCCCTGGCTGTCCTGGAACTCACTCTGTAGACCAGGCTGGTCTCAAACTCACAGAGATCTGCCTGCCTCTGCCTCCCGAATGCTGGAATTAAAGGTGTGTGCCTCCACACCTTGGCTTCATGTACATATTTTGATCATATTATTTTATTACCCTCTTTTGTCCCCCCTGACCCTTTTCTCTCAGATCTCCTTCCTTTTCACAACTAGTTTTTCTTTCTTTTTTTAATGGTGGAAAAAGTATATATTTAGAATTAACCAGCTGGACTCAGTTTAGATGATCCCAATCTTGTTGGCAACATCCGGAGCATCATAATCAGGAGCCAACTGAACATCTGCCTTCTTCTCCCCATCAGGCCTTGTCAGGGTATTTGGCCACATGAGGGTCATAGAGCTTCTTCACAGTCTGTTGGATCTGGTGCTTGTTGGCCTTACATCCACAATGAACACAAGTGTGTTTTGTCCTCTACTTTCTTCGCGGCTGACTGGTGATCAGGCAGAATTTGGTGATGGCATAGTGGTCAAGCTTGTTCCTCCTGGGCGCACCCTTTTGAGGGTATTTGGGCTGCCTCCAGAGCTGCCGGGTCTTGGGCCTCCAGAAGGTGTGTGACGTGGGAATCTTTCTGTGGCTGTGGATGCCTTTCA